GCGATGGCGTACATGGATGACGTAGTGGTCTTTTCACGAACATTCGAGGAGCATCTCGTGCACCTTCAGATCATACTCGAACGAATGCGTCAAGCCGGCCTTACGATTCATCCAGATAAAGTCCAGTTGGCATCGCCTGTAATCAACCTTCTCGGATTTGTTGTGGATAACGGAACGCTGCGGCCGAATGAAGATAAGCTGCGCGCAATAACGGAGTACCCACCCCCTTATGACGTCAAAAGCCTACAGAGATATCTCGGGATGATTGCGTTTTATAGAGATTTTATTCCGCAATGCGCTGAGATAACTGAACCCCTGAACCGATTGCTCCGCAAAAAAACGAAATGGTGCTGGGGGCAAGAGCAGCAAACCGCATTCGCGTGTCTTTCAAGGGCTGTGACTGAAAACGCGTGTTTAAACCTGCCCGACTTGAATCGTCCGTTCGTCTTGCAGACCGACGCAAGCGATTACGGATTAGGAGCAGTCCTTCTGCAGGAACATGACAGCGTTCTTCGTCCCGTAGCTTTCGCCAGTCATACGTTAACCGGAGCGGAGCGAAACTACTCAACGACCGAAAAAGAGTGCCTGGCAATTATTTTTGCGCTTAAGAAGTTTGACATGTACCTTGACGGCGCTTCGTTTAGCATTCAAACTGACCACATGGCTCTCTCGTGGCTCAAAGGGCTTCAAAACCCTGCAGGACGACTCGCTCGATGGGCCCTTTCGCTCCAGCGCTACAAATACACAATCGAGTACAAGCGTGGAGTGGCTAACCACGTTGCAGATGCGTTGTCCCGTGCTCCACTTCTCGGGCAGGAAATGCAGGTGGATCCCGACTTGGTGGCACTGGCCAATGCGGCGCCCATCACACCAGAGTCGCGGTGGGGAACCCTGGTGAGCAGAGAGGAGCTCCGAGCGGCCCAGCTGTCCGATGGACTTTGTCAGAAGGTGATGCACCAGCTGGCAGAAGAAAACTCAGCCGACGCTGGGAATCCCAGAGACTTGGACTCATACCTGCTCAGCAGCGACGGCATCCTGCTGCGATACATCCCCCAGGCGGACGATGGGTCCAGCGGCCCGCCATTCCGGTCTGTAATACCACGTAAACTGCGCAAGTCATTTATAAGATATATGCATGATCCCGCCTTGGCAGGCCACAGCAGTGGGAGCAAAACTTACGAAAAGTTGTCCCAAATTGCAACGTGGCCAGGTATGAGGCAGGATGTGATGAGGTACGCTCGTAGCTGCCCGGTTTGTCAGAAGGCAAAACCCCGAGGTGGCCAACCACCAGGTTTAATGCAGTCGGTCGAAAGCAAGTACCCCTGTGAGTGTGTTGCCTGCGACGTTGTCGGTCCCTTTCCCCGTAGTCCACGCGGCAATCAGTATTTGCTAGTAGTGACCGACCATTTCACAAAATGGGTCGAAATGTTTCCTTTGCGCAAACTAGACTCTAAGAAAATCTGGGACTGTCTTCTCGAGACGTTCGCGCGCTTTGGCTTTGCCGCAACGCTTATTACAGACAACGCTTCTTATTTTGTTAGCAAGGTGTTCGTGGATGCGTGTAAGGCGCTAGGCATACGGCACAAACGGACTTCGCCATACCATCCACAGGCGAATATCACGGAAAGAGTGAACCGTAACCTGAAGCAGATGCTTGTATCGCATACAGAGCGACACAAAGACTGGGACGCGAAATTAGCAGAAATGGCATTCGCTACCCGCACAACAATCAACCGGTCCACGGGTTTTACTCCGGCCCAACTTAACTTTGGAAAAGAGCTCGTGTTTCCCCTGGGAAACGGCCTCCTTTGCACAGATCCTGCAAGCACGCAGCGCACAACCACGCAGTTCGCAGAAGATCTCCGGAAGCGTTTCACGGAGAACCTGCGTGAAGCTCGAGAGAGCCTCGACGTCTCGAGACTGCAGCAGGCAAACCAGTACAACAAGGGGAGGCGAAATCTGCAGTTCAAGGTAGGAGATCTGGTACTGAGGCGAACTCATCCGCTGAGTGATGCTGCTAAAGGCTTCACGGCCTCTTTAGCAAAGAGGTGGGATGGCCCCTACCGTGTTAGTAGCAAGCTCTCCAACCTGTCTTATGAGCTGGTGCATTGTGAATCTGGTGAAGTGTGCGGGTCTATTCATGTCGCCGACCTAAAAGCTTTCTATGAACCCGAGGAGGTAGATGTGTCGCAGGTTCCAGATGACGACTATCCGGACCACCTCTCGGAAGATTCCACACCGTCTCTACCGCGGTACAACTTGAGACGGCGGTGAAGACGACCGGGAGTAGCACGAGTTCTAAGCGTATTATCTTCATGCCCTCTTCGTTGTTTTAGGGGGGGAGAAGAGAAATGGTCCGCGCTCCCGCATGCACAGTGGGACAGGCATCTTTCGTGTGCGCGGCTACTTTTTCCTACCGCGCCATGGCCTCATGTTGTTTTTAATTTCTAGTTCCTCGTGCCAGACAGCGGCGACGCAGCTCCCATCATCAGACCACCCCCCATGGCTGCATCGGTACTGTCCGGAAGTACTGACGTCGGACCCGTGCTCGCTCATCTGAGAAGACCCTTGCTGACCGAGAAGGAAGGCCCCCCCGAAGACCATCAAAGACGTCCTCTGTTTTCGTTTTTGGAAGGGGGGAGATGTGTGGGCAACCTGGCGATTCCAAGCGGTTGGCCCAGGCTACCCCTCCGACAATCATAAGTGGTCATCTTGGCCACGAGGGGGCCAAGGGCAACTGGCCACGCGAGCGGCGCTCCGCCGCTGATAAAAGGCCGTCGCAGCGGATGCGCGGGGGCTGTTGGGATCGCGGCGCAGGCGATAGCGGTCATTAAATGTTTACGTGTTGTTGAACCGGTGTGCTGTGTCATTCTCCGAGACGGGTAGCAGCAAGGGAAATCCCACAATTTTTAACTGGTGTCTTTCAATCGGTGTGCTTCCGCAACTCATGCAAACAATTAAAGTGCTTGTACTGTACAAAAAGGGAGATAAAAACGACATAAGCTATTACAGGCCTATCTTCTGTCCTTCCGGTATTCTCAAAGGGCTTAGAAAAAATTATGCACATTCGTATATCTCAATTTTTGGATAAGCACCAAATAATAACTGATGCTCAATTCGGCTTTCCGAAAAACCGGTCTACAAAACTTGCATTGCTTGAACAAAAATGATTCATTTTACGGAGTTTTGCGAGAAAGAAATTGGCCCTTGGCATTTTTGTGGATTTTACAAATGCGTTTGATTATATGAGTCACAATTTACTGCTAGAAAAGCTCGATATTTACGGAATTCGAGGTCAAGCACTTCTCTTTGTCTTGTTTGTTCGACAAAGACAATTATATCCGGTGTACCACAAGGAAGCATCTTAGGGCCGTTATTGTTTAATATATACATTAATGATATTGAAGATATGAATCCACCGACTAAATTCGTAATATACGCGGATGCCACGAGCCTCTTCTTTTCTGGCGAGACTGGCAACGAGCTTATCAGCTGCGCAAACGTGACCCTAACAGCGTTGCGGAAAATGGTTCTAACGCGCCAAACATCAATGCGAGGAAGACGAGGGCAATCATCATTTGGCCTAAATACAAAAATGTTTCTACAAGTAAGACCCTTGTCTTAAATGCAAAGGATATAGATATTGTACAAAATTTTAAGAGTCTAGGTGTAATTTTCAATCAATACTTAACTTGGGAAAATCACGTAAATGACTTACGCACTAGATTGTCAAAGGTCATTGGATTAGTCTGAGTTATTTTCATCCAATCTGGAAAACCACCACCCGCACAAATCTAAAAAAAAAAAAAAAAATAACCTGCTGAAAACAAAATGTGCACCTCATTGAGATGTTTCTTACAACTATATATATATATATATATATATATATATATATATATATATATATATATATATATATATATATATATATATATATACATATATACAGTAATGGGCCCTGTTTACAATGTGTACAAGTATAGACTCGCGATCATTTTCAAGTTAGAAAATGAAAGAAATGGGGATGGCTGAGCAAACCTTGCGGGGCTAAAAGAACCATTTTGATGTTAGCCTGAGACTGAGGCAGGAAAAGAGGAAGTTTCAAAGTAGAAGAAAAAGGAACAGTCGAGGATACGTCTCTAACACAGCTTTTCCTGCCTCAGTCTCAGGCTAACATCAAAATGGTTAATTTCCACCAGCTCGCCTGCGCACTCACTACAATATCATTGCTAAAAGAACATTCAACTTCCTACCCTACACGGTCGGCGGAACATTGGACTGCGCCACTGTGTCATAACAACTATTCAATGCAGTCACCCAAATACACGCTTCCTACTATATTGAACTCCCTAATAAACAAAAATAGCATTGATATTATTTCTATTGCGATTCGGGAATTACGAACTGAACTAACGTGACGCGAAAACGAATGAATCGAATTACGAGAGCTGTTTGATTTTTGAATTTTACCGTGGTATGTCGGGTTTTTCAGTGTTTTTCGCTGTTGCTTTGTTTTGACTTGTGTATATGAAACTACAAGGGACCAAGGGGCTCCGTTAAGCTGTTCTTACAGCTTTTTCCCCTTGTTTTCTCCATGTATCAGCCGCTCGTCCAGGTGGCAGCACCTATTTTGATAAAGGTGGACTGAAAAGGTTTTTTGGTGCAGCGGACGACATTTTCACATAGAAACGAAGCAAGATGTCCGATGAGACTTTTTGACAGCCAGATGCTGCCAATGTCATAAAAGTGCGAGTTGCCGCAACAATAAACGCTTCTATAACTCTCATGTTTTGTTTCTTACCCTAGGACAAAGTAACGGATTACTTTTTAAAACAACGGACACTTACTTTTATGGAAGTCTAATTATAAATGAAATTACTTCCTTTTATTAACGTGTACAATCTGAATGAGGTAAAGCCTTCGATATTCGTTTTACGCTTGTTTAAGACGGCAGATTAAACTTTCAGTGAATGAATTCTGATTTTTGATTTCAATATTAGGCCTCTACCAAACGGTAGTGGCCCCCCAAAAATTGGCCTATAGGCTCATTGGAGTGCCCCTCCCCACGGTAATCTTTAGTAAAAGGCGAAAGATTAAGTCGTCATAATGAGGAGAGGCCTGAGCGTTAATTCCCACTACGTCGGAAAAGAAGAACCCACTCGACACGTGCAACCTGTACTTCGCAGTGATGCGTTGGCAAATGTACACTGTATTGCTTTTATTTAATATATAAAGTCGCCATGTAACTAACACCTGCATTTTATTCAGAGCTTGGAGACTATCTCTTAAAAGGAATATAATATTGCACAGCATTACACCTTTCTATTCGGCTTTTACTTAGAACGCGAAGAAATGAAGCCGTGTCTAGGTCATCATCATCATCGTCGTCAGGGCTTCGCGCACGGCTTCGCCGCTTCGTTCGGCTGGGGATTTTTCTGGGTCGAAAAATCCCCATGTACCCAGAATGTCCCCGTTTGTCCCTATCGTCGCTTGTTTTTACACACCTGCTGCGGAACACACGTTTGGGACTGAAATGTCGCGAAGTTAAACATCGTTCATTGATGAAGTAAAATGCGCTAACTAAAGCAATTAAGCCTGGTTCGGACAGTTGCGTTTGACTGCGTCTGACTGCGTTGCGGCAGCGAGAAACCAGGATATCCCTGCTGCTTATATCGCGTGCAAAGATGATTCGTTGGATTGGATTCCACGCTCCATACGAAGCACAGATGTGCCGGTGACTAGCTTTCCGCACTCGACGCAACGCAGTCAAATGCACTCAAACGCAAGTGTCTGAACCGGCCTTTACTCTTTTACAACGCTAATCAAGGTACATACTATTCTGTACCACCCAAATAACAAAAGTGTTCCGCGTTATTTTCCGGCGAAGAGACGAAATGCACGCGCGTTTACCCATAGGAATGCACAGGAGCACCGCAAAAGTAGTCTGGGTAGCTAAACTCGTCGAGCACAACTTCGTGTCCGAAAGTTGCGGAACGCGCTAATTGGACTCTCGCGACGCTGAAGTCAAGCCGAGCGAGGTGTCAATCACCCGAGCTCTCTCGGTGCTCAAATTCCAGCGAGAATGTAAAACACAAAGTCGTAGCGAGCTCCATCGAAGCGCGTGCGAGCAACACCGTGGTGCCAGCCGATTGAACGGCTGCACTGATGATGCCTCGCCCGAGTGTCCCTACATCCCTACGCCGCGTTAGAGTCAATGATGCGTAGATTGTACCTAGGGGGCCGGTAAATACTCTGAACTTTCTCGTCGCAAGATCGTCGTTTGTGGAAGTTATTGGTAACGACGATGTGACGTTTCACAACTTTGGGAAGGAGTTATTTGAGGCGAAAATCTTCGCTTCGGAATCGAGGCGAAGATTGAACTTTGTGATGTTGTGGAGCCGTGCGCGGTGTACGCGGGCGGCTTTATGGAGCTCATCTTCCGCCACTGTCAACAACGCCACCGGGGTCACCCACAGGCGGTTTGTGTAGAGGCGTCGGTAATGTCTGAGAGATAAGGGGAAACGAAGGAAAAAGAAAAGCCGAGGAAAGGGAAATAAAAAAAATTAAAGACGTTTGCAAATCTTTGTAATGCGAATTTAGAGCTCAACTCTTGAGGAGGAATAAGGGAGGGTACGAAGAGAAGGGTATGCCCCTCCTCCTCCCCTCTTCCTCTCCTGCCCTCCTCCTCTCATTCAGTTTCTCCGCTAAATTTAGCAGGGAAAAGGACATCACATGAAAATCTAGCGGATAAGTGAATTGGCGTTGAAGTCACGTAGCTGGAAATTGAATTGGTGTTGAGGTCATGTGACGTCAATTTCGCGCTAAATTTAGAGGGCCGGTGACGCCAACGGCGACGCTTACGCCGCGAAACCCGGAAACGGGCGCCGAAGAGCTGCGCTCTAAAGAAATAATTAAGATACGACACACACACACACACACGCACACGCACACGCACACACACACACACACACACACACACACACACACACACACACACACACACACACACACACACACACACACACTACAAATAGGACTCTCAAGAAGGGCCGTAGAAATTGTTCGGGAGAGAGAGAGAGAGGAGGTGATGCTGGTGAAGAAGGGGGATATTCCTTTCCCCTAATATTTTATTATGACTCTCTGAAATGCTATGGTGGTTCGGGGCTGGGGCGATACCCGCCCCTTCCACCCTTATGCCCCTGGCCCCCTCTTTCGACGCAACTGGGGGAGGGGAAGGGGAGGGGGGGGGCTAAATCCCCCCTCCCCATCCTCCTGTTTCGACGACCCTGCTTAGAGGTGTTCCAAGGAGCAATGACGAGGAACAGCACAGCCTGCAATTTTCGAAATAACGGTTCAAGAGATTCTGGAATTAAAACGGCTCGCGTTCCATGAACTCAAGAGCGGCCATGACAGACTTTCAAGCGAAAAACTCGTGCCAGGGCACGTATACAGTGTGCGGGCGCGTTCAGTGACGTCATTTTATAGTTGATACCTTTGACGATGGAGTCAGGATTATCAGTTGTGAACGACAAATTTGATGGTGCGTGTTCAAATCGACGATGTCAAGTTTAGTGTCCTTGCGATCTTGAAGCATCACCGCCAATATTGACAGCCTGACATTCCTTTTATTTCCTTATTTCCGTTGATAAACATACTTAATCCCAAACTGACTGATCTTAGAATGTCTACCATAAAATGATTTTATCCCGCCGATGAAGGGACAACTGCCCGGAGGCGAAATTCGCCCGAAAGTGGACAACGGTAGTCGGCTGATTGTGACCTAGCCACGCCGGGCTACACTTTAGGCCTAGATAAATCAAAAGAACGGCAGGGACGCTTTTTAGTAAAGTCTGCTTTATCAGCGGAAATAAGAACGATACCAGACTATTAATTTCGACGGTGTTGATTTTAAAATACAATTCCCAAGCCTCCATCGTGCTTTTTAGAGACCATCAAACATGACGGTCGCAGCTGATAATCTTTGTTGTGACGTCACACGTATGAGCCACGGTCGTCTCCGCGCGCTGCCTAGGGAGGCGTAGGGATTTTTCATCCCCTGAACGAAAAAACGTCACGAAGACAGACGGATCTGCGGGTTTGTGAGAAAAGAAAACTTCGCAGCAATCTTTCGGCTCCTCCCCCCCCCCCCCCCCCCCCCCCCTATGTCATAACACAAAGAATATTTTTGTTGACGAGTTTAGCGACCCTGGTTGCTGTCTGCTTCAATTTGCGTCACGGAAATTGCATAGACGCTAGTACCAGTTGAACATATAGCGTACATTATAATAACTTTATGGTGGCTGCAACACTGGAAGTCATGTCGCAAAGTATTCTTGAACATTTCTTTACGTTATTTTTTCAACATTCTAATCAAAATATTTAATACGAACTATACTACTTCAAAAGAAAAGAAAATGATCAGAGCCTGTAAAGTCACCCAATTCAAAATTAAAAACAGAAAAAAAAACATATTACTTTTTGGTAGGACCCCGTAAAAGAAGCACGTTATTGCTAAGGGATTTAAAGCAAAATTACAATCGAAAGGGATATAGAGTGTGTTCAAGGCTCGCCAGCATTCCGGTGACGCTTATATATTGCTAATATGCCAGTCTTATCACTATATGAAAACGACCCCGTCTCGGATCTTTATGAGTGGATAAAACACTGAAAGCTTACAGAATAATGTTTGCGGGCTATGAAAGGTTTCTCTTTTTATTATTTTCTATGCCTGGTACCTTTTATCAGGCACTTGTTCTAAAATATTTCGAGCGTGCGGGCCATGTTTTGAACGTAAAGCAAACATCTTCGTACAGAGCAGAAAGAATAAAACAGTACAGTACATGACTATATTACGTGGCCTTCCATTTGTTTTGATCGTACATGCACAGGGAGTTACTGATCCAGTGTTACTGCGTAGTTCTTGCCGTCTCTCTTAATTTCCAGATGTCCTTCGTGCGACGTATATCCCTCATGCTGAAAAGCGCCGACGTCGTGTTCGCGCTAACAGTGTCCGACAGTGTACATAAACACGTGCACGAATTCGTTTTAGCACCGTTTTAAATGCGATGAATTTGAAAGAAAAACGCCATAACTGACCAATTATTTCTTCTGCCTGACCGAGAAATGTTCCAAGCTACTTAGTACGACGAATTATTCGGGATATTCGCTCTTATAATCGAGCGCAGGGAGAAAATGCATTCACTTTTTCCCATGGAAACGCATTACTGGAAGTCAATTTTCGTCTGGTCGCTGTCTGTTTCAATTTGCGTTAGCACAGACTAGCGCCAGTTGAACCTCTAGCGTACATTATAAAAAGTCTATGGCTGCCACAACTTTGTTAAATTCATCGTTGAAAAAAAAAAAGCTTCCGTGCAGTTTTTTTTTTTTTTTTTTTTAAGTGTTGAAAATGTTTTGGGGTCGCACGGCGATACGAAAAGAGTTACAATGTTGTCTCTGCTTAAAATTAAAAAAAAAAAGCATCAGCCACGCACTTTTGCCATATTCTCATAAGCGCGTCTCCGTCACCTGCCACGACGGCAGGTAAGCTTTCGCTCTCTGCGACAGAATGTTAAAGGCTATCACGGTCTAACTGCAGGTTCAGGCGTGTGGGTGCGTATTACTTCCAGAAACGCCAGCACAACATTGCCTGTCTACCCCATTGCAAAGAAAAGAAAGAAACAGTTCCAGCGCTTCTTAAGGGACGCCGATACCGACGTATTAATGTCCACAGTTCCTCCGCGAGTACCTCACGCCGGCAGCTTTCTCTGTGAGTGACAGAAAGGAAAGAGAGTCAAAGACACTTTCCATCCACAACCGACATCTTTAATTAATTTACTAATTTACTGCGGAAACCCCATGGTGCCCCCAAGGGCACTATGATATGGGAGGGACAAACAAGACATTTGATGCCACAGAAAAACGCAAAACAAAAAAGGGAAGGCAGCATAGAAAAATACTGTGCACAACATTGCGAAACCAGAGATTGTGCGACAAAACGAATATGCCCCAACCTCTAAACATTTTAACAAACGTAAAAAAAAAAAAAAAAAAAAAAAACAAGGTAACATATTGTGTGTGTTCTTTTCTTTTTGAGCCAAGAGTTTCAGTGTTGAATAAAGTGGGAAGA